AAAAACTGGAAATATACTTAGAAAATTATTTAATTTTCTGATTATACATGATTTTCTTCTCGTACTAGAGTAAGAAAGATTTTTTTATATAATATAAAATCCAGCTTATAATAAAATAAAGAAATTTTCTTTATACAAAGTCTGCTTTATAATAAAATAAAAAAAATTACTTATTTCTAGATTCACCGCGGCTCAATCTTTATTTTATATTTAATTTTAATAATAATCTCTATCTAAATTCTGCTTTATTATTTAATTTTTTTTATTTATTTATTTTATATAATATTATTATATATATCTATTCTGTCTTCTGCTTTCTTATACTTTTATTATTATTTTATATAATTTTTTTTGGAAAGACACAAACAGAAGTACTGCTATACAGAAAATTCTACTAAAATAGATTATAGAAAAATATAGTTAAATATATCTAAACTTACTTAATATATTAAGATAATACTGCTTTAAAATATTAATTATATAACAGCTTAAAATTATTATTAATTTTCTTCTATTTCTTTACTAAATTAGTAATAGACTTTATAACAGGACTATCTCCTATTATTTAATATAAGAAAACTGTTGATGCTATTCTTGTTATTATTAATTAATTCTTAAAATACTATCTCTTCTTTACTGTTTTATTAATAATAACTACTCCAGATCTTACTGAATTATTCTATAAATAAGTTAAATTAGTTTTCAGGCCCTCCAATGGAGTGGTATCTGATTAAAAATCAATTTTTATAAATAAATTCTGGTTAAGTTTAATCTATAATAATTATATAATCTTGAAACTTTCGACAGCGTTTCATCTCTAAACCGATGGATAAATGGAAAGAATAAATCAAATCTTAGAATACTATCTCTGATATTATTTTAATATATTTAATATTAACTGGCCAGCATTACTACCAGCTGTTTAATTTACTTATAATAATATAGATAATATAACCACAGACTAATTACTAAATATTATTTTATACAGTTATTCGCCAGACTTTCATATCAGAATTAAGAGTGATTCTTAATAATAAGAGATCCCGGCCGTACAGAATAGAATCAAGAAGCTTAAAAAAAATAAAAGAACAGCTATAAAAGACTTAGTAAACCGCTACGGAAAAGCAAAAGAAATATTATGATAAGCGCAGGAAGCTATTCTATTTCAAAAAAGGAGATCTAGTCAAGCTGTCAACCCAGAACCTATGACTGAAGAAGTCAAGAAAATTAGCTCCAAGATTTATAGAACCGTTTCGGGTTCTTAAACGCATTGGATCCCAAGCGTATCGCTTGTGTTTACCAGAGGAATATGAACGAATCCATAATGTATTCCACGTCTCTCTATTAAAACCGTGGAACGCTAGGGGAAACCATGAAGAACTACTCCCGATGCCGGAGTTAGATGATAAAGATGAGTAGGAAGTCGAAGAAGTCAAGGACTACCAGCGATACGATGGCCAAGACTACTACTTAATCAAATGGAAAGAGTGGCCCAGCGAGTATAATCAATGGATCCCTAGCAAAAACATGGCGAACGCACAGGGAAGTATAAGAGATTACCAAAAGAAGCATCAACGCTCGCGGCGACCAACGAAAACACAAAGAATCACTGCCGAATAGCTACCAATACTGTGTCTAACCATTGGAGACACCTCAAACCACATAATATCCGGTGAATTGGTACTATCCTATCCCAGCACGTTAATAAATACATTACTTGCAACCGTTATCAGGCGACGGGCGGCGCCCATACATACTGAGATCCAATAACCCTGCGCCCCAAGGCCGAATAACCAGTGAAGCCATACCGAAAAGCCTCTACAACTCCCCAATAATGACTGGCCAACCGTTCAACACGTCATCGAGCACGTTATCGAGGTCATCGCCCTCGAATTGCCAGTTCAACGCTTCAGTAACGGCGGTGCGGAACGACCGCTTTGCGCTGGTCCACAGAACATATCCCGTATCGCCCGGCATCAAATACAACTTCTCGTAGTTGACTCCCGGGAGTTCACGGCGGCGCGCTAAAAACGCTTCATAATCAACAACGCGACGCTGGCAAAACGTTAGTATATCAGCACCAAATCGAGCCCATCTTTACATACCGATTTCTGGTTGGTCGTCAAGCCGTGGTAACGACGATGAACCGCTACCGTCTGTACAAAGGCAGAGGATAGCTGTTTAAATGCCTCATTGATTGCGCGGCGAACATCTTCATTAAAAATCACGATATCTTCGTTTTCCTGTCCCTCCTCTAAGTCAACGAAGAAGGTCTCCGCGTACTATTCAAGTAAATCGGTGTATTCGTGAGCGTTTCCGAGGGTTCCAGCGGGCGACTAGACAGTTAGCATGTTATTCCAAAGACGGGCCATGAAATCATACTGATTCGCAGCCGCTACGTCTATCGAAGCACTGACGACAGAGTACCGAACCGGCCGCATTGAGAACGCAGTCAATCACGAAAGGGGCTTGTTTTTCCAGGTTCACCGGGTTGAATTCGCCTACAGCGGTTCTAAGACAGCACATACACCATAGATACTTTGGCTTAATAGCCGTATCGCGCAGGGGACGATGGTTAACTACCGCCGAAGCAGCAGCGCCTCGGTTGGCACCTCGGCCACCACGACCACGGCCAGTCGCACGAGGCATTATCAAGGATTCAACGTAAGGGACGCGATACGTTGGTAAAAAGAGGGGGAAACGAACGCGAAGACACACTTCTTCGTCAATCGATAGATGAATAGCGCAAGAGACGACGAAAGACGCGCAAAACGACCACAGAAAGCGAGCGAAACGACAGGCTAACACGAAAGGAACGACGACCGCGAGGTAGAAGAAGGAGAGAAAGAGGAATAACACGAGAGATTCTTTTGTTGACACTTCTTCCCAATGGATCCACCCATGCAAATACAACTAAACACTGGTGAAGCTATACATGAACAACACGTGACCCTACCTCCGCAGTGTTCCCCGCGAATTCCCCACCTTTCACTACCGGATCCATACCGTTCCGAATCGGGAACGCATGAGGTTATCCCCGAACACCCGAGCCAGGTGGCTCGCTTCAGCGAAGGAGGGCGCCATTTGTGATAGAATAATCCAGTTATCGGAGTCGTGAGGTCATCGATAGCAATTCTATACCTTCTCGATACCTATAAGGTGCCGATTCCCTTACAGAAGGCCACTGATCCTCAAGGATCAGTCTACTCCGTGGATATAGGCTATCTTTGTCATTATCAGATGAATCTATTGTGCTTCGTGGTTGATTCCTTACCTAGTCGACAGGCTTTCTACCCTGACAAGTAGATCCTATCACATAAATTTAAAATATTTTCTTTTTTAATTAAATATAATAAATTTTTATTATAATTTACTGTACAGATCAGCAAGCATCTGTATTTTAAAAAATTTATATTATTAAGATTAATCTTTTTTTAAAATAATTATTAGAAAGATAAATATTTTCAGTATTATAAAATAAAATAAAAAAAATAAAAAGTAAGTCTTTTAAATATAATTTTACTTAAAATTATTATAATATTAATTTTAAAAGAATTTAATATCTATGTATATATCTTTATAAATATAAAAATATAAAAAATTTATTATATAATATTTTAAAGATTATTCTAAATATTAAGTACTGTAAGTTAACAGAATATACTTTTTCTATATATATATTAAAATAAACAGAAAATCTGAACTATCACAGTAGATATATATATAAAATAAAAACCAGATTTAACATAATATTTTTATTAAATAAAATTTCATTTATATTTTTATTATTTAATATTATTGTCTTACTGGCAGGCTGCCTTAGAATAATAAATATTAAATATAATAAATATAATAAATATAATCTTTATTATTTCTGATATAATCTTTTTTGGAATAATTCTTATAATTTAGATTAAATTAATAATAAATTAAATTTAACTATTTATTTTATAGGTTATTTTCCTAGCTTAGAAAAATATTATTTATAGTAAACTAGAGTACAGATAACATAGTTTTAGAAAAAGTCTTATTAAATAAAAACCTAAGTATTTTAAAATATAATATTCAATATTTATTTAATAAAATCATAAACCCGCTGCTGTAGAATAAATATATATAAAAATATATAATAATTATAATTCAAAAACTATAAATTAATATCTATAGTAAAAATCTAAAAATATATATTTAATAAAGATTAAGAACCACTTCATACAGGTATAATCTAATAAAAAAATATTTTATATTTATATATATGAGTATTTCTAGGAATAGAAAGCAAAAATAGAAAAATAAGAAGAAAGATATATGAAAAATAAGTATTTACAAGAAATGAGAAATAAATAGAAAAATAATAAATTAATAATAGAAGAGATATGCAAAAGCAAGTCTCTATAAAGACAAAAAATAAAGAGTAAATAAAAACTAAAAAGATGTACAGAATTAAGTATATACAAGAAACACTAAGCATAGGTTAAAATAGAGGTGGACAAGGTGTGCACTGTGTCCGGGGATCATAGACCTGACTCAATGTTCCCACGTGATGCGTCCCGCGTCACACCACCTCCGTCCCAACCAAAGATTTCTCCACCTCTACCACCAAACTAAAAAAGTTCATTCGACATCCTCCCTCTACTCAAACTCATTACGATCATTAGATTTATCGATTCAACTCCCAAAATCGTTCAAGATGGATTCGCCAGGTGCCGAATTTGCCGACAACGAGAGACGAGAGCTGATGGCAGCTATAACTCGCAAGATACCCTTCCACTTAAATGCACCCACCTCATGGGCTTGTTTGTGGCTGTCCGATATGGAAAGGCTTAGATATCTTGCAGGTCTAGAGGCAAAAGACTTGTATGATATACTGTATGCCTATGATAATTACAAACTAGTTCAGCAATGTATGTTCGCGATGTTCTGGTATAATCACTTACTAAACAATGAATCTAACTTTCTATCAAGGGACCCAGCGTGATGTTGGACTGCAATCGAGACTTTCATCAGCAATATCATCCCCATCCCATAATCGAAAGCAAGGTATGATTGACTGCAATGCAGTTGTTTCTGGTGCAGCCACAGAGCTCTATTCGGCGACTAAGATATCGAAACCGAAATTGGCATTACAGACAGCTCTTTCAGACTCCGAGGAGCCCCGGGAAGTGAAATCATCTCCAATGGATAGCCCGTTTAGTACTCCTATAAATACTCCTAACAAGAACAAGCGTCCCGCTGCGTCGATTGAGTCCCCAGTCCCATCTAAAAGGTTGAGAAGAGACGAGGCAGCGAGAAAGATTGTAAGGGATCTAAAGAAGTTCCTGGTCCTATACTAACAGTTATAAAGTGCAAGCAAAGAGATGTCTCGTGTGTAATCACACAGACACCGGGTGATTATTGTGACGTTGCGCATGTTTACCCGTTTTCTTTACGGGATATAACAGTCGAGTCAACAAAATTCTTCTGGAGCAATATGAAACGTTTCTGGTCCGATGAGAGGGTCAAGAAATGGAAAGACGCTGTCTTCTCCGGAGAAATGGGCACGGAAGAGCCTGAAAACATGATGCTTCTCAATCCTCTGGCCCATCGTTTGCACACCAAGGGGTTGTTCGCCCTCGAGCCGGTCAGTATGAGTGATGATCAGACCCGTCTTACACTGCGGATATGGTGGCTTAAACAGCAGCAACCCAACAAAGCCATAACATTGGGCAATATTCCAGACTTGCCAGGGGATTATAACCCCGAAGGAGCAGGTATATGCCTATATAATTCCATACGCCAACAATGTCTTCGTTCCGGGGAGCATATTCATCTTATAACACCGGATCCTATTCTACTGCCACTACCGGATACTACGATAATGGAAATGCAATGGATCTTACAGAGGGTCACTGCATTAAGTGGAGCTGCCGAGCCGCAGGAGCTGGAAGAGGATGATGATGATGAAGGTGAAGATGATTTTGGCCTCAGACCAATCTCTCCTCCCCTCCACATGCCGTCATCTAGTCAGGTATATGAATCCCAGTCCTCTCCGGCTTCGTCAGTCAGTCAGAATGTCAGAGGGGGGATGAAGTACTCCCTATATACTGCTCGTTCTATGACATCTAACGCTGAGATCGAAGGAATGGGTCAAGACTGATATCGCCATCACTGATATGTACCATCACCAATCATCATGATTTACATCTCAAATTGTACTGAAAGCAGAAGAACTATGAGTATATGAAAATGGTTTTTATTCTTATCTTAAAAATTAATAAAGATTTAATTCACCATGAAACTTCTAAATTATTTAATACAATTGTTAGAGCAGGTCAGCCGGCTCGCTACAACCCAGCTATGATAGTGAGTAACATGACTGAGACACATAACCTAGTTTTCATCGATTTTATTAGTTATATATAATCTTGTTTGTTTATTCTATTTACTTTATTTTATTTATTTATTTTTATTATTAATATATATTTTCTTATACTTCTTTCCTTTCTTCTCTTATATTTGATATTCTAGTTTAAATATATTAAATAAAATTATTCTATTAACTTTTGTATAATATTAAATATTACAGATAATTATTTTTTTAAATTAATATTATAAATAATTAATTATCTAGTAGGGCTACCAGTATCTATTTAATATATATTTAATAATATTAAAATAATTAAAATAAAACAGTCTGAACTGAATTTCTAAAAAAAATAGTTAATTGATAATTTTTTTTAAATATAATAATAAAAAAAAGCCAGACTAGCTTTACTCTATATAAAAATTTAAAATAATATTTTATTATTTTATTAAATAAAAGAAATAATAATTATAAGAAAATTTTTTAAAAAGAATTCAGTAAAATATACAGAAAATGTTTTAATGTGATAGGATCTACTTGTCAGGGTAGAAAGCCTGTCAACTAGGTAAGGAATTGTCAAACCCTAGGATCGCTTCCCTGTCCCAGTTAGCTTAGCCACATTGATATACATACCGTCAAACTACATTAAAAAGATATTGACTGATGACTATCTGAGAAATAATTTAATTATAAATAAGAGAAGAGAAGTAAGACTGAATAATATTATATAATTATTTATAAGTAAATACAGATAAGTATTCTATAACTAAGCTTTTAAATATATAATTATTTAAAAATAATAATATTAAGTATAAAGAATAAAACTAATTAAATATATAAGAAAGTATCTTTATATATTTTATCTTTTATATATTATATTATATACTATCCAAAGTAAATCAGTAATTAATTTTGAGATTTTTATATACCCCGGGTATATTTCTAATAATAAATTTAATAATAAATAATTATATAATATATAGCTGTTCTGAATATTGTATTAATAATTCTTAATTATATTAAATAATAATTTAGTTTTGCCTGAGCACTGTGTTACGGACCTCTGCTAGTTGACCTACTAGTAAGGCGGACTCGCCAGGCAGAAAGCGCTGATAAGAGCAGCGCTCAGGCAAAACTAAACTATTATTTAATATAATTAGAAATTGTTAATACAACGCCCGGAACAGTTATGTATCATGTAACCATCTACTATCAGATCTACTATTAAAAGTATATCTAGAATATATAGAAATCTCAGGATCGACCACTGATCTATCCTGAATAATATATAATATAGTATACAAAGAATAGAATATATAAAAATACTCTTTTATATATTTAGTTAGTTCTATTTTTTATACTTAATATTATTATTTTTAAATAATTATATATTTAGAAGCTTAGCTACAGAATATTTATCTGTATTTATTTATAAATAATTATACAGTATTATTCAGTTTTATTTCTTTTCTTTTATTTATAATTTAATTATTTCTCAGATAGTTATCAGTTGATACCACCTTTGATGTAGTTCAGCGGTATGTATACCAACAGAATTAAGTTAATTAGAATAGAAAAGTAATCTTAAGATTTTAATATATTAAATATTAATTAATATAAGTATTTACTGTTATAATTATCTAATATATTAATTATTTTAAATTTATTATATACTTTATAACAGGGCTCCAGTGCCCAAGGAGAAGATTAACTATATATATTAATAATATAAAAATTAATAAATTGTTACGGACCCCTGCTAGTTAACCTACTAGTAAGGCGGACTCACCAGGCAGAAAGCGCTGATAAGGGCAGCGCTCAGGCAAATCCAAACTATTATTTAGTATAATTATAGATTATTAATACAACGCCTGGAACAGCCTCGCAATATGTGACTACGGTATATGAACTAATATATAGTATATAATATACTGTCACGGTCTATAACTATCATACTGGTATACAGCAGATCTAATGGTATATAATATAATATATAGAGAATAAGATATATAAAAATACTTTTTTATATATTTAGTTAGTTTTATTCTTTATACTTAATACTATTATCTTTAAATAATTATATATTTAGAAGTTTAGTTATAGAATACTTATCTGTACTTACTTATAAATAATTATATAGTACTATTCAGTTTTATTTCTCTTTTTTTATTTATAATTCAGTTATTTTTTAATAGTCATCAGTCCATACTATCTTGATATAATTCAGTGGTATGTATACCAATGGGACTAAGCTAACTGGAATAAGAAAATAATTCTAGAATTTAATATATTAAATATCAGTTAATATAAATATTTACTATTATAACTATTTATTATATTAATTATTTTAAATTTATTATGAACTCTGCAGCAGAGCTCTAGTACCCAAAAAAAGAACAGTAATAGAATTTAATAATATAAAAATTAATAGATATAATTAATTAATTATAAGAAAGTATTACTATTTTAGAATAATAAAATTAGTTACTTAAAGATTACTTAGCAGTTAAATCTATTAAAATCTGATTATTAAAATTATTTAATAGTAATTAATTAAAGACTTAGAGCTTTCTTAACTCAGTTAAATTTATATTTTAATATAAATAAAAAGAAATTTAAAAATAAGATTAATAAGATCTTCTTTATATTTATTTATCTAACTGGAACAGTGTTTAATTAGTTTAAATTATATATCCATGATTATTAAGAAAAACCGGTAAGTAAATAAAATAATAATACTAAGAAAATCTTTGCCAGTTATACCAGATTTAAAAAATATCTTAAATAAATATTCAGAGATATTAATGCAGTATACAATACTAAATAAAAGCTATAATAATTTAAGTAAACTGGATTAGTATTTAAATATATTTCTAAATTTTTATAAATTATCAGTTATCTAGACTGGAATAAGAATGCTTATATTATATAATTTAAAAAAAAACTTAAGATAGAGATTTAAGAAAAAC